CCATAAAGCTTTTTATTGTTTTCGTAGTTCTTGTATTCCTGGACTTCCTCTTTATTACCCAGATTGTGAAGAACCTCTCTTATCCTGAAGGAAAAACAAGATTGTGAAGGCATACAGCACGTTCAGGGGTGAGTTCACATCATTTCTGCACAGATCAATTATATAATAATGATCGAATTCTTCTTTCAGAGAAAGACTGGTGCATAAATATGAGGGCTAGTCAGGGAATTTATGACAGAAAAATGTCCCTGACTTGACCTACTGTGTTAGGGAAATTTAACAATGTACTCTTACTAACAGGCAGCAAAGCAGCACGTTGTAGAGCCGTCTCAAGGAGGATCAGAACTGATGCAGACTGACAGCTCAGGATAGATGGCAAGATAATAAAAAGCCCAAAGTCTAGAAACAAGACAATGCCAGTGACTCAGTATGAAAGAGATGCGTTTTGCTAGAGAATCAGGTAAAATCAGCATCTGAAATACTGGAAATAAACACATCAAATGAGCAAGAAGTAAAAGAGTAAAAGGATGCAGTGAAAGAGTAGGCAGAAGATAAGGATAATTGTGAAAAAACACCTTACAGTTTCATGTAATTGCCACTTTCAGTGGTAAAAGCAAGAATAAGGAGCAAATGATTTCTTCCTAGGGATCAAACATTAATTATAATTTACCGTTTATCATCCCAGAAATAAGGGTGATTTAGGACCTTGTCGACGGTCGGTCTCTTATCTTGTTCTTTGTTGATCATCCATTCTATGAGATCCTTTGCTGCAATATCTTGAATCTCGCCAAGAGAATATTCCCCTTCTGAAATGTTCACCTCACAGCAGATGCCATCACCAAAAGGATGTTTCCCGTCAGAGAGGATGTAATAGGTTAACATCCCTGCTACCTGATGCAGAAACAAAGTTATCTAACAGGGAAAACTGCACAATACTAACCACTGGGCATGATTAGAGTAGGAAAAGTGTAAGTAATCACAAATAGTCATGATTTCTATGAACTAAACTGATAATAAATACTCTTTTATTTAGATGATCTCATTGTAATCACGGCTGCAGTTCATTCATGATATTTCACAAACCTGGATGTCTGAGCTCGTTTTGTATCCGCCTTTTTCTGTCTGATTTACAATCTCCGTTGCCTCCCAGCCTTGTGTACCAGCTCTGTCAGTATACACTGTGGTTTTCTCCTCCTCCAGTTTGCGACTTAAGCCGAAGTCGGCCAGCCTTGCCCTTTCTTGTTTATCTATTAGGAATAAGTTAGAGTTTTGAATATACTGAATTAAAATTCTGTTGTCATTTTAATGTGGATGGGGACCAGCTGCTGATAAACTGGTTTGGGACAACGTGATGGTGAGTAAATGATGACAGAAGCTAAATTTTTAGTCGAACGATTGCTTTAAAGGATTAGTTCAGTCAAAAATTTAAATTGGCTGAAAATGTACTCACTCTCAGGCCATCCAAGAGGTAGATGAATTAGTTTCTTTATCAGAACAGATTTGGAGAAATGTAGCATTACATCACTTGGTCAGCAATGGATCCTCTGCAGTGAATGGGTGCCGTCCAAACAGCTGATAAAAACATCACAATAATCCACATGATTACACTCAATCAATTAATGTCTTGTGACGTGAAAAGCTCCATGTTGTTTTAACTTTAAATCATCACTTCTGGACAAAATACGAGTTTATAATCCATAATAACTCTTCCCCCAGTGAAAAAGTCCATCTCCTGTTGTCCTCTCGCATTAAAACATATTTGTTTAGAACTGTTTTGGACTGTTTTTGCTTGTACACAGTATTTGATCTGTGCATATTTCTCTCCTGATTCAGAAGAGACGGTTTTTTCACTGGAGAAAGCGATATTATGGATAGAGGACTCAATGGTAAAGGAAGCAACAGTTTGAAGTTAAAACGTCTTAATGATGGATTTGTTTCTTACAGACATGCAGCTTTCACTTCACAAGGCATTAACTGATGGACTGGAGTGGTGTGGATTACTTGTGAATTATTGTGGTGTTTTTATCCGCTGTTTGGACTCTCATTCTCACTGCAGAGGATTCAACGATGATGCTAAATTTCTCCAAATCAACAGTAAAGATTATTATTCTAAAAAAACAGAATAAAAAATAAATTGATATTAATACCTATCAAAACATTTCTAGGCTTTATATCGCGATGTATCACTTCAGCACGGTGAAGAACTTGAAGGCCAAGAAGCATCTCCTTCACTATTCTCCTCAAAGTGGTCTCTTTTCTGTCCTTTTGCTCTGGCTGACGAAGATATTCCATGTAGTCCACTAGATCATATTCACAAAGCTGGTTTGCAAGATAGTAAAAATCTTTATCCGCTGCACAGGTCACATACCTGACGATATATGGGCTTTCAAGCTTTTGCAAATGACTCAGTTCATTTTCAAAGTCTTTGGTGTTCTTTGGGTTCTTGGTTATTATTTTAATGGCCACATCAATGTTATCTACACTCACGCCAATATATACTTGTGTGCCACTTCCTCCAGAGCCAATCATGTACTTCACATTTTTATAAAAGTAGAGGTTCCCTACTTTTTGTTTGTCAGTTTCTCTTAGCAGCTCCTCTATTTTTGTACTATGTCTTGTACAGGATCTGTTTCTATTCCACCTGGTGATTTGTTGGTCCTCAGTCCCCTGTTGGACAGCTTCCATCTGTACTTTTTTAGCATTTTGAGGGTGAGATTCAGTTCCCAGTACTTCTGATGAGGTCTGTGCAGATGCCCCTGCCATTCCCTGTTCAATTCCTACAAAATTATAGAAAGTATAAGAAAATATGTGAAGGTTATGCATGTTCCAAATATTTCTCGTGTTTTCACCAATGTTTCTTTAAGTTAACTGCTCTATATCTTAGTACTTTCTGACAATGAAATTATAATTATGTAACCACACAAATGAATCAAAGAATTTAGTACAAGCAGCATAAACATAGTAAGCAGAAAAATTATAAACTACAAACAAAAGTATGAACATCCGGTCAGATCTAGAATCTGTGCCAGTTGGGTTTTGCCTTGTATGTGTTGTGTGCGTCCTATTCTCTCTCTCACCTTCTCGTTTAAGATCTTCAACCAGGAAGGACTCATTAACTTTGAGCAAATTATAAAAAGCAGATTTTGCTTTGTTGGTGTTCAGAGCATTAAGTAACACTCTCATTTTAGCCATATTTGTAGAGGCTACAAAAATATTTGAGTATGTTTCCTCGTGAATTATTTTAACAGCTTTCAGTGAATCAGCAATGGGCATCACAACAGTAACCTTTTGGATGAGCTTGTTACTGTAACGGTCCACAAACTGAGCATCTGAAAAATAAATGACAGTTAAACCAGAATATTTGCCATATGCAATGTGAGTAATACTGCAGAGTGGAAATATCCATTAAAGGAGTTTAAAGGGGCAGTTCACCCAAAAATGAAAATTCTGTCATCAGTTACTGACCCTCAAGTTGTTCCAAACCTGTATGAGTTTCTTTTTACTTCTGAACACAAAAGAAGATATTTTGAAGAATGTTGGTAACCGAACAATTGCTGGTAACCATTAACTTCCATAGCAAGGAAAAAATACTATAGAAGTCAATGGCTACCGGCAACTGTTTGGTTACCCAAATTCTTCAGAATATCTTATATTGTACAGAAGAAAGAAAGGCATAATATTGGAATGCCATGAGGGTAAGAAAATTATGACAGAATTTGAATTCTGGGGTGAACTATCCCTTTAAAAATCGTGATGACTGAGCAGTTGAATTTTGACAGTATACACATGTGTTGAAAAATCCTTACTATTTCAAAACCCCTCTCACCTTGATGTTCAAGCTCTTTAACCAGGTTTGGCTGCTTAGCTTGCAACACATTGTAACAAGAAGATCTTGATTTGATGGTGCTCAGAGCTTGTAAAAGCACTGTCATTTTAGCATCTGTAGATGCTTTCAGAATTAGTGAGTGTGTTTCACAGGGAATTGTTTTATCGTTTCTTAGTGCATCAGCAATGGGCATCACAGAAGTAACCCTCTGGATGAGAACTTCACTGTGATGTTTCACAAATAGAGAATCTGAAAAAAAAAAAAACATCAATTAGGAGAGTCCTACTCATCATAGTGAGCTAATACAGAAAGTTGTATATGATCTGGTTTAGTCAGGTTAAACTTGGGTTTGGGGTGTCAGATTAAAACTTACGCAGCTGCTCCATTGTTTTTGTTCAATGTCGTTAAAAACTGCAAGTCTTATACACAGAAAATCTAATCAAAAAGATAAAAGCAATAAAGACATGATTAGAATATGCAGCAAGTCTATATACAATAAATGTAGTTACATATATCAATATTCATATAGGCTACACCTCATGAGTCAAGGCAATTAGCCTACATTATTAACAAATGATAATTATTATTAGTAACAATATTTCTAAGTATAATGTAATAATGCGTTAAACATGTATATTAATTGTGCCAGTTATCCGTTTTGATGTCTTTTTCAACTCTTTAAATTATATACTGACCACTTTCTTTGTTATTTAACAAAATTAACAACGAGATAGCATAACAAGTAAGTTACTGAAAGCGTGCATTCAATCGTGCTGCCTAAAATCAGTCAAAATTCGGACATGGTGCGTTTTTCCTCTTGTTATTTTATTACGAGGGTGGGGTAAAATGAGGTAAAAATATATATTTTAACAAAAGGGAAATTTACAAACGCCATGGTAGTTTGTGTCTATCAGCAAATAAAAAATAACTAACGTTACACCCGTAGGGCGTGTTAAGACATTCAACAGGACGTAAATTTACCTTGAACTTTTCTTCTCAACCGGATCTTTTGATTCGTTCGAACCGATTATCGCAGCGTGTGTAAAATCACAAGAGTGAGCTTTGACCAAACCGATTCGTCCTAATCAGTCTCCTCAATTGCTGTTATGCAATTTCATAACGATTTCTTTCCTGTTTTTAATATTTTTGAATAGTTACACGTAGGATACAGAACAGGATTCTACTGGTCACTTGTCAGAAAGGAGAATGCCCAGTGATTGGTTAAAAGAACTGCCAATCAAAGCACTCAGGTTTCGTCTTTCATGCCCATGGGCATGGCATGAATCAGTTTGTTGTGGGCTGAAATGCTCATGATCACTAGAGTATAGTTCACCACAGTTGGTAAATAAACGCTAAGCTGAAATGGATATGGAAGAGAAGCCAAAATACGGTAAGTTTATTCCTGGTTTACATTTGCTGGTGTTTGTTGTTAAAGTTTTTGGTTTGAGGTTTTTAAGAGAGCCCTTTCATATTTACACTTCCAAACAGAAACTGAAATTGGTTTTAATTACTTCGCCGTCGCTAAATAAACACCCAGATATCAGCTAAGGAAGATGTTTTTGGCGGCACACGCCGTGTTAAAGTGAAAGACTGTGGTGTGGTGTTATATTGTTGGTGTTTTGTTAGTAAGGCAACGCCTAAAAGCCCCGTTATTAGCTTTGTCAGTTCATATTTTGCAGTTTCTTAGTCCTAAACAAACATAAAGTCTGAACACTCTGTAAACATTGTGATTTTAATTTAGCAGCCGATCGCTTACTGTAAATTTGGTGGTTGGAAAATAAATGCTGTGCATTTGGCTTTCCATCACATTGTGTTATGGTTGAAGTGTTCATGTTATACTATTAGTGTACAGGTTTGTTTATAGATTAATATTCAGAACAATCACAGCAAAGCTGTGGCACAGGGTAAAACTACATACAGACATATGAAACTACGCAGCTGTTGTGTGCATGAATACAACTCCTTGGACACAACATGGACAGCACTGAAAGGCTCAGTTGTGGCTGTTCTAATAGTTTGCATATGGTTTCTGTCCTCGGTTTCAGTTTGAAACCAGTGCTGCTTTAACAAGAACATTATTGCTTGTGCATTAGGTTAAAAACCGGTATTTGCAACAATTGCTTTGCAAAAATTAGCGTAAAAAAGCTCTGCTTTTATTCTTGCACATCTCTTCATAAGTAGGCTATATCTTGTAACCCAAGTCATAGAGCACATAGTTAGGGGAGGCTGCTCTCACGAGTTGGAGTGCATGTAATTAAAGGGTGGAATATAGGATGGTGCTTTTTAAAGATTTAAAATAAGGCCTTAACCTCTTAATTTTGAACTTGTATGTTTTTCTGAGCTGTACTTATGTGCTATTTCTGCTGCTGAGGGCCTGAGTTTGACTGCAGCTGTTTCAAATTAGGGAAGGGATCACTTTTACATGCAGTGCAACTTCTCTAATAGTTTACAAGCACTGTTTTTCACTGGAATCTTGTTATATTGCCTAATTGCAATGATAATTGTGTAGTAGACTCATTTCTATTTGAGAAATGTTATATATTCTATTTGAGTATTTGCCTTTAGTATTAAAGGCAAATACTAGCTCAATTTGTTTTTTAGGGTTTGATATGAGTCACTGTGCTGGTGTAATTATCCTTTTTAGCAATTCTTTATGAATAATACACACTGAGTACTTTCTTTTTATGCATTTTTATTAGTTTAATAGAGTACAAGTTTTTGCCAGGCTCTAATAAAATATAAATAAGCACTGAGAGTACAGCCTTCATGTCTTATGCTATTGGGCTGTATTTGTATTTGTCTTGTATACTAGCATCTTGTAGTTAACTCATGTTAAAGTCAACTTTGTTATGAAGTAATGATTACTAATGATTGATTACACAGTAGTTTACTGAAAACATCTGGGGAATTCCTGAATTTATCAGAGCACATTGTGCTTTATTTCCTCAGAAGCCAGACAACAGGAAATCGCAATGGCATTTCCATAACGTCACATTTTTCTCACTAATAAAACTGATATCATATCTTAATTGTACAGTGACTTTTGAAAGGTGTAAGCTCCATGTACAGTACCAATTAGTCATCTTATCACATTCAGTCTAGGAAATGGACTGCTGACAGCAGCTTTCATTCCATTAGTCACTGAGAAAAAAATGGAAGTGCAATTGATTTGTTTTCTTCCTTTGCCTTTCTGTACAGTACATATTTAAAGGGCAGTGACCATTTTTTTGACTTTATGGGTTGTTTGGACATTGTTTCTCTGTATGTTTTAATCATTATCAGAGTCATTATGCACTTTTCGTTTCTAAAATAAAGCAATAACAATGAATAGAGGTTGACCGATAGTGGATTTTGCCGATACCGATAGCTAGGTTGGACCACACTGGCCGATACCGATTAATTAAC